AATCAATAAAATCTTCTCGGGTAATCAGCCGCGTTAACTGGTTACCGCAGTAAATCGACGTTTCGGGGACAGAGTTTGTTCCCGAAACGTCGGTTTACTACGGTAACCATTTAACGCGGCTGATTACCCGAGAAGATTTTTATAGATTTATAACTCTTTATGAATTTCTGATTGGCGATTAAATAAACGTTTATGAACGAGTAGCCTCTAGAATCTAGAAAAGCCCTAGAATCACAAATAAGCAATAAATACGAACGAAACACGAGCTCAATTAACTTGCTTGTACGTCGAGATACCTGATGATTGGCCTCGGCATATGTAATTTTCACTGCGGTGTAAGACACAACACGAAAAAAAAACGTACAGCCTACAAAATGAGAATAAAAATGCACATGTCTACAACAATACTTCGAAAAATGTAGGATACAATATTTAAAACAAATATCAATTTCCTTGTTCATTATTACAGGTAACGCCTGGAACACAAGCGATAATTATCGGTGTTTCGTGTAATTAGGGCGTTTTTACGTTTCCACGACCGTGGAAAGAAGACACTTGTTTGGAAAGAGGGTGGAGAGGCGAGTGCTCAGTATGTTACAAATCGCGTGCCACTGGGGGTGGTATAGCTGATTTTTAAGGGATGATAACAGACACGCGGAAAAGATCCTGCAGGAAGGAAACAGGAAGGAAATGATTTGTACTGTCGATAAAAAAAAATGGACAAGCATGAAAATCTTATCGTGGGGTGCGATCAGGTAGTGAAGCTGGTTCGTGTATTGTGGAAATTATTTGCTACATTTTAAACAAAACACTTTCGGCTGTCCGCTGCAAATGTCTAGACCGAATGATTATTTGGCGACATAACGATGCTTCTTCAACCACAGAAGACACAGAGGGTACAATGTCAGAATGACTAATGAACTGAAAACGAGGTGGAAGGAGTTTGTCATTCTGACTTTGATTGGAACAAATGAAAATAAGAAGATTTCCGTCTTCTGGGTTGTTGCGCCGTGTAGTCTGGTCGATGTTAACCAACGTTTCTGAGGTCATACTGCCACCCTGATGACGGAGGCAGTATGACCTCAGAAACGTTGGTTAACATCGACCAGACTACACAGCGCAACAACCCAGAAGACAGAAATCTTCATACTCTGATGACGGAGGCAGTATGACCTCTGAAACTTTGGTTAACATCGACCAGACTACACAGCGCAACAACCCAGAAGACAGAAATCTTCATACTCACCGCTGTGAGAACCTCAAGTCTTACAAATGAAAATAACTACAAGAAAGTTCAGTGTTGCCAACCTCAATATTGCGACTTTCAGAAGAGGACGCTGCTTACCATCATCCAGTTTCGATTATTGTAAAATATATAACATATTCTAATCGCCTGGCCACAGCACACGTGTGAAGCTATATAGCGCCACGCAATCTCGGTACATATAAGTGCAACTAATATTTTAAGTTCGTGTTGACCGCTTGCACTGAACTCTATAGCGAATGTGTGTAAACTCATGAGCACGCCGAGTGTCATGACCATACACCACAAAAGGTCATTCTGCTATCACCTGAATCAATCTCCGGTCTCTAATTCCCCAAACACAATTAACTTGTCTATCAACTAACGCATTACATATGTTTCTTGTTTTAATCGCCGTGTTTTGCTTATTTTTTCTACGAAATTGCCTCTTATCAGATACACAAATCTTAACTGAAGTGTTGTTAGGATAATGGCCTAGTGTTTCATGCAGCAACCGAGAAATTCAGACATGCATTACGAAAAGAGAAATGTGGCTTACACATATTTCAGGCATGTGGTTATTTAGATATCTCTTTCGAAACTCTGTTCAAAGAGGTCGCTACACTCTTAGCGAAAACTCTTCACGTTCTAAAGTCCCGGAAATGAATTATGACGCAAAAACCTATTTCTTCGTTCATATTTTCCAAGAGATTCAAACTGAGAGCAAAACTAATTACATGATGTTGTCTTCTACGATGTTGCGCCTTGTGGTCCGGTAGAAATTTACCAGCGTTTCAGAAGATGATGAACGAAGCAGCAAGCACTTCGATAAACATTTCAGAACACTCATCTTCACGCAGATTGTGATCTCCTGATTTATCTCGCCTTGTCGTATAGGCAGTTTCAAACGACAGGTTTATCAGGAATGATGGTTGTCATCTGGGTTGCAGTGCTACAACCCAGAAGACCATAATTCATTTGAAAGTACTTTTGCTAATTACAACTAATACCTCCTAAAAATTTGTTTTTTTTTTCATGACCTGAAATTTTCATCCAAGAAAGTAAAAGTGCGTAAAATAGTGTCGGATACTAGCTTATTGTAATGACAGAGACACGTTTTAAAAACTTTTAGAAAAACACAATGTGGATTATCAGGTTTCTGGGCAGGGTACAATTCGAGGGGGCGATTCGTAAAGACAGGCCATAACGTCTTCTGCAGGTGTACAGCTGCATGGCAATTATAGGACCTTACCCAACAGCGACCTTTCTGCACCCTACTGGACCACGACAGGTGGCTGCTTACAGAGGGGACACGATACAAATAAGAGCTACCTGCACTGGAGCTACAAAGGAAGTCACGTGATACTTGCCCTGGTGGATTGGTAACTTTCGGCTTTTAAGGAACGCGAAGTCTCATCACCGTGCTTTCAAAAGTTCACCGTTGGACCACGAGCCATTTCAACCAAGTCCACATCCTCACATCGTATTTGTCTTAGATCAATTTTAATGTTATCTCCTCTCTACTATGTCCAGGTCACCTGAGGATTTTTGACAATGTTTTATATGCATCTCCGGTTGCCCTAATTCGTGGCATGCACTTACAAGCTCATATGACGTCACAAGCCAGACTTCCATAGACATCATTACGCAGACTGTCTTCCGAGACTCTCATTTAAGTACGATCTCGTTGTGTGAAACTTACAAACCGCTTCTGTAGTCAACTCAAGTTTTATGGTAACCATTCTAGCTGCTTGTATTGACGGGAGAGGCAACTAGACTCTTGTCTTCCTTTTCATAACAAAGCACCGGCAAGCTCAGACAGATGACGGTTCAAGATGTTGCCATGCGTCACAGCCCTTGGACCGGACATCCATACTGTTTCGGCTACAAGACTACCAAATCTCAACTGGGCACAGAGTTAACTCACGCCAATCGCCCTAACAAAAACCTCTGTAACATCGAGAAACGTCTACCAGACCACAAGTCGATGGAAGTCACAAAACAGCAATCTTCTTAAATCCAATTGTTTGTACGTCTCGTTGTTGTGGTGCCCAGAAACATGGACAAACATTAAAGCTTTAAATCAGTTAAGGACAACCCTGTCTTCGCTTTTACTATATTAAAACTTAAGGTACAGCAGGAAAAAACAGTGACAATATAAAGGTGGCTTAGCTTTGCTTGAGCGACTGAAATTCTCACCCCCCCGACCACGTTTACTGCATAAATGTCATAAAAGATTTGACCATACGTTTTCCGACTTCACACTCAGTCCTCCCTATTGAACCTCAGAATCGTAAAGATCCACCCGCGACATCCTTACAACATAGTAGACGGACCAGGCTTTGATTCCGGGCAGAGTTTATCTCTCACCACCCATCAATGTGACCAAACCGGCTCTGAGACACCAAGAAGTTTTCTACCCAATGGCAAATCGATTACCTTTCTCCGGGGTATACTGCGTTCCAGCGTTTTTGGCCGCTGAACTTTGTGAATTAGAACCTCGGATCGAGTCACTTACCAGAAGATTGATGGAAGGAATGGCGGCAGGCAGCGTACAGTACACTCCAAATAAAATATCGTCACGGTCTGTAACAAAGGAAAGTCGATTTTACTACACTACAGATCACTAGAAAAATTAACACTGCAGAGAGTATTAGATATTTTATCTTCTTCACAACTCTTAGGTCCTCTTAAAATTCTTCCACGCCTCAAAGACCATCGCTTTCTGACATCACTCGATTCATCACTACCTCTGCTGCTGTTCACTGCATTATTTTCATATATATATATTAAATATATTAGTGACAAAGCGGGACTAGGAGTGACTCGAATGACCTTGTAAATTTTAAAGGATTCTATTAGGCAAACCGTCCGACTGATATTGTCGTGACCTTGATATGGAGTTGACCTGTCCGTGACCTCAGACTGACATGAGTATTATCACTCAGATTCCAGCAGATCGTCAGAAATATGCTTTTGAACAAATGACCATGAACAATTTAAAGCCATCTATACGGAAAACCCCGGGACTTATATTGTTGTATCTATGTTCGTGTATCTTATTTAAAACGTGAAGATACCGGCAGATACAGAAATTTGGTGTTCATATCGGTTTTCTATTAAAAAAAAAAGCTTCATCGTCTTGAGAACCTCAAATTTAATATATGAAACAGATAATTTACAGTTACCACTTGGCAGAAGAACTCGCGATGTAATTAGGATGTTGCGCTGTCCAGTCTGATAGAAACTGGCCGACGTTTCAGAGTTAATCACCTCTGGTGCGTTCGGTAGAAATCTGGTTTCAATCGCTGCGAAGGTGTTTTCACAGTTTGCTTATTGCATGAAGAAAGTTTACAAATTTTATACTTCCAATTAAGTTTTACAAAAGATAATGGTGCAATACATTGTCAGCAGTAAAAATAGATTTATTCCAGTCAACTTCGACGGTTCATGTGCTGAAAACTTGAAACTACTTCAGAAATATGACAAACACAGTTAGAAAAACACTGGTATGTAATGCGATCAAAATTCTACAGCCACATTTGTTGGGAGAAACAGGATTTTTCAAATTTCCAGGAACCCGTCTCAATTCTACGATACGGTAAGAAGGAAAACAAGTGACCTTATCGGAGTGACCTCACACATTTCGTGACCCTATGCATGTTATTATTACGTCACAACGCCATCTTCTAGAACTCCGCGCATGTGCAATGGTGAGGAAGATAGAAAAATAACGAGATATTATGATGTATTATTATATAAGCAATAGTAATAAATTCTTGGAAAATGTGGCAATGTTAATCTACACCGGAAAAAAAGGAACAAGTAACAAAGCTGGCAACTCTCGACGAGTCTGCACGGCGCTAAACCCCAGAACAACAACAACAACAACATTATAAAACTAGAAGTTTATCTCTGGTTCTGTATGGATCTTAAACTTTCTACTCTGGTGGATGAAGATATATTTAAGGTGTTTCAGAGCAAAATACTAATTAAAATAAAAAGGAAGTTTTGTAATTTATATGATTCAAATAACACTGTCCCGTGATCCCAGTTAATTCGACAAGTAAGCCATACGGTTGGAACACTTAATAAAAAATAGCACTCTCGAAACCAAACCACAGTTAGTAGGATAATATTAAAAATGGGAGCAACTGAAATACATTGAGAGAATATCATCTGACACGTTCTGTCTCGTGATATATTGTCCAGTGCAGAGCTGCTGTGATAAAGACGGTGAACAAGTGATTATGTAGGAACAATTAAACTCAACGTAAGGAACCATTCATCTGGTCAAAAGTACCACACCTCTTATGGAATCCGAAACTTAATTATCAAGCCCACACAGGCCTATACCATTGATTCCATTCTAGTTCCCTGAGATATTTTAACAACATTCTGCCGTCTACATGTAGTCTTCCAAATGATCTCGTGCCTCCAGGTTTCCGACTAATACTTTATATGCATTTCTGATCTTGAAGATATCCGTCTTCTGGGTTATTGCGCTGTGTAGTCTGGTCGATGTTTACCAACGTTTCAGATGTCATACTGCCTCCGTCATCAGGGCGATGAGTATGAAGATTTCTGTCTTCTGGGTTGTTGCGCTGTGTAGTCTGGTCGATGTTAACCAACGTTTCAGAGGTCATACTGCCTCCATC